AAACAAGCTTCCAAAGAGCTGAGTCACTGAGGACTTCCACTGGACAAAGACAATAGAAGTAGCTATAATCCCTGCAAAAACAAGTGACCTCTTCAACCAATAAAGCTTTAGTTTATGTACAAAGCAAACTCAAAATACAAGGCAGTCAAATAGAGGAGGATCATGATCCCCGCGACAATTACTGTATCTCTATATCTGGGCTTTAAGCTCCTGCAAGGCTAAAAGTAGGCTACGCAGCCATAGGCAGCAGGAGATCCAGAGATCATCAGGCAGTCAGAGCTAAAAGAGGTCGATGACAACAAACTAAGAAATATGTCATTTTAGAATCAATCTAAGAGTATTAGAAATCTACACTAAAATGTATCATGTGAATTTGCCTTTAAGTTACCATTTCCTCCCAATAATTGCCATAGATGTCATGCATGTATTTGTATATCTTATTTGACACTTAATTATTTATTTGTTATTTTTGCCACTATACAATAATTACTTTACAGTGTACTATGTAGGTTTTGCCATTTGTCATTTTATTGTATTGTATGAGCTATTTAGCAGTTTACCTTGTGGATCAATGTAGTTTATCTAATATTGATAGGCAAAAACTAAAACAAATGACTTTATGAGTGAGTTAATTTCTAAAGGTGTTGGTAATGTTTCAGTCATAAGCAGGAAATGTGCCAAGATTCTATTAATTTGTGAAAGCCTTAATTCAGTGATAGTTCTGGCAAATGGACTGTAATTATCAGACAGTAATTATCGGTACCGTCAGCAGCCACTTAGCTCTGTAACTAAAGGTATGATTTAAGTCTTATGTGTAAAATACACCAGTTTGTAATCTAAACTAAAACCCAGTCAGAGCATCACTGGATTTGAAGGTCAGAGATGATAGAATTGGCGTAAACAAAATGTAATAAGTTTCGAGGTGTGGGACAGGTGGCAGCAGCATAGTAAAAAGAGGATTTGGAAATTGCTTTCTCCATTATAAAGTTTGGCTCAAGTCTCAACATCCATTTAATGCCAGTGCAGTTTGATTCTTGGCAGTGAAATAACATCAGGTTTGAGACTTTGAGAAACTTTCTGAACTCTGGTTTTAAATGCTACGACTTTTGCTACGACGATTCATTATGTTTGTGTTGTTTTTACTGTATAGCAGGCATGATATGAAGGGAGCACATCGTTAAAGTGCATGTTTTCATGTTCATGCTTATCTAATTATTACTTGGTTTAGTGGGATAGTAACTGTGGTCAATATTTCAGTTAATGGCCACTTTCTGGAAAACAAATAGAAAAGAAAAGTACAAAAACACTGGGTTCTAAAGGGGAATAACTCACCAATCCATAAATCAATCAATTATCTGTTATTTTCATTGATTATGTATATTTGATTCAGTTAGTTTTTGCCCTTGAACATTATGTTTCCTATAAATGACAGTTACGGAATTACCTCCATGGATATATCTGCTGTTTGTATCAAACCAGGAAGTAAACTTATGAACTAAAAAACTAAACTTAGAAAAAAAATACAATTAAGTTAATTATATTTTAATGAAGTGAGTAGTCTAACCCATATTCACTTAAACAGGAAGAGATTTCTTCATGTAACATAATTTTAGAGCCAAAATCAAACTCAAAATAGAAGCTGTCTAAATTTACTTTAAGAAAAATATTTATACCAGTTGGTTATTTTAGGGAATTTTAAGCCAGTCCAAGCTCTGCCAGGAAGACATCGTCGAGGAGGTCTGAGCAGGAAGAAATTGCTCCTTTCTGACCACCTAATGGGAGCGTAATGTGCTGTGACACTCCAGGCAGAGGCTGTCAAAACAGTGGGCTCTGTTCCACCACTGGCCCATTGTTCTGAGAGGTGCTGGACTGGATCAGTGCATCAAAGCATCCAACACCGGCCCCACATGAGCTCACACTGTCCAGATGCCCCGCCAGGACCCGGCTTTCAGAGGACTAACCCGCCTCAGATTAGGAGAAACAATACAATGCACAATCACACTTTTCTGCCCCAAACAGAAAAGCAAAACATGAAAAATAAGAAGCAATCAGTAAGAAGCATATGGCATAATACATAAAGGCTGAAAAGGGATGTTGTTACCGGGCCAACCAAAAGGTACAGTATTTAAGCCAAGCTGAATTTCCAGAAACTTTTCATGCCAAGTACCACTTCAGAAAATATGTGCTGTTAAGGTATCGCCATAGACTATATAAAGAAGTGGACTAAGGGGCTGTGACGTCACCCATAGCTGCTCCAGTCAAATGATACTGGCGAATTTGTAACCATGTTCAGCATTAGGAATAAGAATTAATGTATGGACAAAATAGCTAAATAAAACATCTGGAGAGTGGGTTAATATGAACACTTGAAGAGCAAAATTAGGAGCCTCACAGTATCAGAGAGGGGCGACGTTTTGTCTAAGTGAATTTGAGCCGGAAATGCACCCATACTCACTTCCTGTTTGGAACGTGACGGCTACCAAGTTAGTTATGCCCATTAGTATCTCCTATTTGTCTGGTTGCATTTATCTTCGCTATCTCATGTCATACAACATGGAGGATTTTTACCACTACTAAACCAAGATAGAAGCTAAACCAAGACTCAGTTGGAACAAAGCATCTGGACAGCATTAAATCAATATAATAATAACCACAGACAAGTCAGACTCTAAATCAAAAAGAAAAGATAAAAGAAAAATAAATTGTCTAACTGATCATTTTGCACAATGACATGGTCTTTTGTGGCAGTTTTGTTCCTCCTGCCTCCTGCCTACGTGCCCATTTGCAAAGTCTGTCTTATATTTACTCAGCAGCCACGTCACGCCACTGCACCTGCTCTACTGATGGTCTGCTGCCTTTAGTCACAACCTTATCCTCCTCCATCTGTATGCTCAAAGGAAAGATGACACTTTAGACATTATGGTTCACAGCCCACACTGGCCTATCCCTAACCATGGTCATCATAATCACATCCAATCACATCCCACTGCATCGCTAGCCTCATGCAAATATTCATATTCATCTGAGCATCCAAAACGTAGACACAGAGAAGTCACTTTCTCTCACAATCATTCTTAAGTCACTGATTTATTGACTGATTAATAAAGGCATAAACTTTGGTAAAAGGACTTGAGAGAGCTTGAACTACAGTTCCAGCATGCAGCCTCGCCAAATGAATGTTAATAATTACATAATCAATGACCGAAACCCTGTGAAGTGTCTTGAAAGAAATATACAGACAGCCATGGCCACTTTCCTCATGTAAGAGCCATAAATAACCATAACAATGAAACAGTGGCATTGAGATCATTTCTACGAGTATGATTTAGATAAGACTTCTTCAGCAAGGCCCATTACATTAATAGACTGTTACTGACCTATATATAACCAGTCTAGTCCTACATTGCTTCCAATGTAGGGAGTATTATACCTCTGATGACATAGGCTAAGGTAAGAAGAACTAAGCTGGCAATTCCTTCCTCTGAAAACTTTAAATTTTCATCAAAAACACTGCCCAGTTCCCAGTCTCAGAAGCTTACCACTACAAATGTGTTTTCTAACATACAGACTGCACATACATTAAAGAGGATGGGAGCCCTATCATCATCCTCCAATGCATGAAAACCACAGACCAGACCATGGCATCCCTCTCTCTCACCTCTTCACCCACTTCTCCCTTTAAAATCCTCTACACAACATCAGAATTATTATTGTTATTACATTGTCAAAAAAGTGCAGATAGATCTTCCCCCGCAGTGCCATCATTCTGAAGGCCGGGCAGTAAAAGGAGGGTGGGGAAACAATGGCAGTACGAAGAGCACGAGATGAGAAAGAGAAAAGAGAAGATTTCTGCCCAGGTTGCACTGCCCAAACAAGCAAACCAACACACACTCACACACAACCACACACACTCAACACAAGAGGGCACTACAGAGCAGAATTCATTGAACATCTTTGAAACACACTTGCGCAAAATGGCACCTGTTTCGTTTTCTTGTGGATATTGTTGGAAGATTTGGTTGCTTCGGTTGGAGCTCCTGTGGTAAATGACATCATTGTATCATGGTTGATTTATGTGTGTTTTGTCAAATCATCTTCTGTTTTCTCTCTCCATGTCAAGGCTATTTTGTTGGGAAAAGGAGAAAATCTGTAAAAGTCTTCCACAATGTTGGAAAGTTCAGTTCAGTTCAGTTGTATATTTTTTTTATTTGTAAATAATCTCTATTTTGTTTGGAGCTACAGCACAGCACCCACAGCACACAGACGACGGGCAGGGGCTCAGAAAAAAGAGCGCGAGGGTTGTCAGTAATATTGTGCCAGAGGAAGAGAAAAAGGGAACAATAAAAGAAGAGAAAAGAGAGAGAAAAAAACGAGGGAGGAGAGGCAGTTTGAATGACTTCATCTGAGTTCAGCTGGTTTTGACACAAACTGAGTATTGATTGTTTTGGACAACTTCAGCCGAACAGTTAACTGGAATGAACACAGTGCACTTGAGACGAATGACAAGGCCTAAAGTGAGACTTTAAGATGGGACACAGCAGGTACAAGCCATAGACAGCATGAACGTGAGGGGCAATTAGGGACAAGGAATGCAGAAAGCTCCCATACTGTGAATGCTACTTCTAATGTACGGGTAATTCTCTATTGACCCAATGTATTATTTACGTTTTTGTGTAGGTGGCACTGCATAAAAACCAAAGAAGGCTTCCAAAAGGAACAATTTGCCACATGCAGAGGACAGACAGACAAACAGACAGTGTGAAACAGGGGGACCATTGGCGAAAGGATGTAAACAATGATATGGCGGTATGAGGGTAGAAAGAGAAGAGAGGGATAACCCAAAGTAAAAGAGAGTTTAAAGGTTTAAGAGAGCAGATGGCTAATTGTACCCGTGTTTCGCAGCCTGGCAGCAAGTCAGTCTTGTGCATAAGGAAGGGAGCGAGAGTTTGGGGGTGGGCGGAGGAGGGGGAGGGCATCTGGGGTAAGCTGGGGCAGTGCGATCAGGCCTTGAGAGCGTGCCATTGGGCTACGTTAGTGCGCGGCCGAGCGAGCATGTCCTTCCAATGCTTCACCTCCGCTGGTCCGCTCTTCCACGATAGGTAGATCTGAGAAGAGAAAGATGAAAGAGATGAAATGAGAGTGAGAAGTGACAGCAGCTCACTCCACCGTGTACATGATGGTGGCGTTACCTTGCCGATGACGTCGTTGCGGCTCAGCCTGTCCTTGTCCATGACGGTGATGATGATGGTGGTCTCCCGGAGCACGTGGGCGGGGACGTCAAACGGAAAGGACTCGTTAAAGACGGGATTCAGACAGCGCTTCATCGTCACTGTCTTCTTCTTCTCTATCCGCTTGTCCTTGTGCATGAGCCACACTTTCACATAGGGATCTACACAGCACACACAAGGATTACAGGCTTTATACCATGGGAATAATAAAGGATTTACTGTATTTAGTGATGTTTTGACTGACATTAATAAATCACAAACAAAGACTTAATTTATAATGAACAAATAATGTACTAAGAATGATTTATGGTTGGAAAACAATTTAAAGGGTCCCTATTACACTATTTTATGATCTATGTTATAATATTTCCTCATCAAAAACATATCTGGAGTTGTGTTTTGTTTAATTCACACATGTTTAACACCCTAACCCTGCATATTTAGGTTAGACGTCTGTGTTTTTAAACTTCATACACATTCACCAGAATCATTTGGATTATTTGTAGCCATGGAATTGGCCATCTCCACTGAACTAAAAGTAAATGGTAGCTGTTGAAACTTGAAAATGATCACTGCATTACATCAAAAGGTGAAACAAAGCATTTTGAGCTTTGAGGATGCAGACAGACTAATAAACCATAATTAACTGAATGTGTAAATGAAATGAAACACAACTTCTTGTATGTTTTTGTTGATGTAACGGCCTTATAACATGACTCAAAGCTCACAAGAATCCACTGTGTGTAATGTAGTGGTTAGAGTTAGGGTATGAATGACTAATCCTTACAAATTAAGTCTTAAGTCTGTTCATGTTTCATTAAGGCACAAATAAATGAACTTATTATAAAGTATTATAATAACTTATTTTCTTTATTCTAGTAGTGTTTCACTCATCAAATCACATAATGTTGCTGATATACCTATAGCCCAAGCTGCCTAGACTGTAGAAAAAATGGCATCTACACATACCAACTGCACAGTTAGAAGCAAAGTTCTACTGCCCATAATGCCCAATATTTTCTTTATTCAGTGTTCAGATTGAGAAGTCCTGGGTGAAAAGGATCTTCTCTATTTGTGCCACAGCCAAAGAGATGTGACAGCAAACAGCAGTTTACACCGCTGCTGGAAAGACGAGCCCCCTGAAAGGTCACACCGGGGGTCAGGTTTGTAATTATCCTCCTAATTGTGAAAGTCATTGAAGGCAGCAGGAGGCAGATACCTACTCTCAGCTCAAGGTCAAGATCTCCCAGAGCTGGGCAAAATACAAATGAGCAGATATTTATGGAAATAAGGCCTGGGATTTGTTCTGAGGCATTATCATATTCTGTAATGCTAACAGACACTTTCTTCTCTCTGCTCTAAAGCCTTTCACTGCGAGACCTGTTACTTTCTCACAAGTAGCGCCAGACTGAGCTGACAGAACTTTGGCTCTGGAGAGGCTGCAGATCCTCATAGATATACACAAAGGCAAAACGAGGTCGGGCTCTGATGTAATGTCACCTCCACTCTCTGCTTAGCCTAGGCGCCTGACGTCTTTGTCCTTTTCACAGACATGGCAGCACCGATGTTTTGAATGCACAGTTAAGGCAAGTGTGAAGCCGCGAGGACTCAGTGTCAGAAGACAGTTAGGCAAAGAAAGGCTAAACGGGCTTGAGCATACCTGAGGTGCCCCCGATGTCCATGGCTTTGAGATTGCGTGCTTTGATGATGTTCACAGTGATGGTGTTGGCAGTGGGGTTATAGCACAGAGACAGTAGCAGGTCTCCTCGCCGGCCCTAAGTGACACACACACAATACACTGTGATTCATGCAGTCACTTTCAGCATCAGGGGATAGAAAACTCACTGTTAGTCATGAGTCTGTCTCTTCCACTTTCGAGACAAATGCAGATGGCCATACTGAGCTCATTGAAAACAATAGCTGCTAAAACAATTGTATCCTCTTATTTTTAAAGCTACCATTTGTAATTTGACTGCCCAACCTGGCCCTGTTGTGTTCTATTGTATTACACTACATGGTATCTATGTAACTGCTGTCTGACAGTGTGCCAACTCAGGCCTGTCAGAAGAAGACCAGAGAGCACAGGTGAGCCAGGTGAGGAGGGCAGCAGTAGCATCTGACAACTACTGGTAGAAAAAATCCAATAAACTTACAGATGGCTTTAAGGTTCATTATTATATATTTGTTATTGAGAAATAGTTGTGAAAATTATTTATGTTTCAAATTGAACCTAAACCTTTGCTTAGCACTGAAGCTGTACATGATACTAAGTCTCCAAAAACACTTTTTTCAGTTCCCCAACCCCTCATTTATTTAAAGTAAGGTGCTATTTCTTAAACCCTAAAGGTCAGCTGACTCTGTTTGCATAGTCAATGTGTATTATTAGTATGGACTTTTTCAGCACATACCAATATTTTTCTTGCTCTTGGTCAATAATTGTTATTTGCTGATAACAATATCAATATTTTAAAATCAATAGCAAGTCCCACCAACTGAAGCAAAGTTAGTTGAGTTCACAAATGAACTTTTTTTCCTCCTGTAAAATAATTTTCTGTTGACATGGAACTAATTTGTAAGACTTATCAATAAAAAAATATATAAAAAATACAAATGTGAAACTATATTCTTTACATTCACTGTTATAGAAAATATTATCAGATGCCAGTGGTGGGTGCCCTTACGCTGCCATCACTGCAGGGCTTGAGCTCCTTCCAGAAGGTCTTCATCTGGCCCAGCTCCACCTTGTTGAGGGGGATGGACACCTCTCCGATGGGGTCATTCCGACTGAAGCGGTCATAGTCCAACACCTGCAGGTACAGAGTGCGCTCCCTGACCTTCTCGTAAGGGAAGCCTACAGCACACATAGAGGATAACACACACAAATACAATGAACAGATCCATTTGTGAAATCAATGTGAAAAAGTGCATGTAATAGTGGTATGGTTGTTATGATATATTTAATGTAACAACAAATTCATTTTTTAACCTTTTTAGCATTTGATCATTTTATGTAAATCACGTACAATATAAATGCTAAAGAGTTTTAAATAAAGCAGCCAGAATAACACCTTTGTGAGTGTGCAATATTAAGTTAGTTACTACACCAGCAGAGAAAAAAGTGCTGTGGATTGCTTTAATGAATAGTCAGTGATAAGAAGAATATGGAGAGGCTGAGGAGACACACAATTTTGCTGCTGTGGTGGCAATGGGGCAGATGATGGTTTGGAACAGAGGCCAGGTGAAACAGAGGGGATAAAGAGTGCATTCCCATGAGTGGCTTGCCAAGTGATTGGGTGAGAGGGAAATGTTATAATTGGACAATAGTAATATTAAGAAACAGTCTCCTTGTTGAATTTATGCTTCTGTTACCTTTCACCATACAATGTGGCATGTTTTGGTTCAGTCTAACCTTTTAACAACTTTTGTAAGACTGAAAAAGCCAGTACTTTGATGAATAAAGCCAAGGTCAAAGGTCAAGCAATAAGTTAAAAGTCCAGCAGTATTTTTACAAACTTTGTGTTTGTGTCACAAAACCAGTAGTGTTCATTTATCAAGCGCACAGCCTATTGTTCTAATGCTGACAACACGGTGAGCCATTTTGGAAACAGTTTGGACTTTGTTCCTGTGGCGCTGTCACTGGTGCACAATGATCATAATGAAACGCATTGAGATCATACGGAGCTCTGACACTTGGCTGCTGGTCTGTGGGCCTGGCACTCAGCAGCTGCAATTCAATGACTTTCACTATTATCACATGATCAATCTATGCAAATTTGTTTTCTCAGCTAAATATTAATCTTTAAAGCTGCACTGTGAAACTATTATGGAGGAGGGTCTGTCACCTGCTTGTCTCCATGGAGATATTACTGCTTGGCCAGGAATATTCCACAGTATGACATTAAATGTTCTATCTTACATTTAACCAGTAACAAGTGTTTGATTGCTAAAGAATTACAACCCTGCATTTTTACTAAGAGTGGCTCACCTCTTCACAGATCTGACCGGTACATTGATCGTCTAAAGCCTTACTGTGGAATATAAGCAACAGTGTATCCATGGAGACAAGTATGTGACAGACTCTCCATCAAAAATTTACAAGGTGCACCTTTAAGTAGGGTTATATGGCAATAATTTGGGTAAGGCATGGCTTTGTATTAAATCATTTTTGTTTTATACATTTATTGCTATTGCTTAGACCTTTTTCTCCTCCAGAGCTTAAAATATTGCTTACTGAGCTTTTCCATACGTTCTAGAGCCAGTCACAGTTTTATTAAAATGATTGATTCATGAGTTTGCTTGACATTTGGCCATTCTCTCATTGGTCTTTCTGGGTAAACATTACATTGGAGAATCAATACCTCGTAAAATGTCCATTAGATAAATAAAAGGCATGGCGCTTTGAGTGCAATTCAATGCCAGGCTAAAATAATGCATGCTGCTAACTAATCCAAACTAGAATTTCAAAATCTCGTAGTACAATGTTTGCATAGATATCTGTAGACTGGAGGTGACTTTGCCATTCTACTGATCTCTTTATCTCGCCAAAAATACTTAACAACATGTCAAGTGGTATTGCATTTCTTTCTCAGTGTGCATTGTTAAACGGGACAATGACAAAGTGTGATAAATGCAAATGTGAGGGAGGATATGGGGCGCTATGTAAAAATGTCAGTCATAGCAAAATACGAAAATCACATGAATTCATGTAAAAATAAGATGTTAAATAAAGGGAAAATTCAAGTGGAAATGTGCCGTAACAAAAAGCTAGATTTTGAATTTAAATCAACAAATCAAATGATATTTGATTTTATGAAGGTCTATCACATACTTGTTTCTATGGATATGTCATTGCTTTATTTGGAATGTTCCACATTATGACATTAAACAGCTCTGCCTTACATTTATTCAATTACAGGTGGTTTTATTGCTCAAAAATATATAGAAAACCTGGAATTCTGACAGATCTAACTTAGTCTGATTTGATCTCCATGAAGATATAAATGTTTAAATACCATACTTTGAAACATTCCAGACAAAGCAACAACATCTCCATGAAAAAAAAGCCTTTGACGGGCCCTCCACTAGAAAAGTTGCACACTGCACCTGAACCTTTAAATATAAGATTTTTAAAATCAGTTTTAGTGAGGTTTTGACACAGTAACCCACCCTTCTCTAAAACAGGTGGTTAAAAACCACAAACCTTCAAAGAGGAAAGTTTCATTCCAGTGAGGGTTGAGGTTCTTCCTCTTGACCTTGGTCTCCAGCTTGTGCTTTTTGTCTGGCAGTAGGTAGATTTTGACAAAGGGGTCGGAGGTGCCAGAGAAGTCCTTGGCTGGGAGGTCCTGTCCCTTAAGCACTTTGACTGTGAGGGTGGTGTTCTGAAAGCTGTAGCCGATACTGAACTGGATACGCCCCAGCTTCTCACTGATTGGCCCCTCTCCGTCATCATCCTCCGAACCTGGGGACAACTGCAAAAGCATTCAAATGAGTACAACAGCATGAGAGCAGCAGAGGTTCACACCAAGGATAGTGTGTGTGACTTGACCTTGATGAGGGAATTTGAGCATTTTTGTCACGGTGTATACAAGCTCCTTGCTTAAAGTGATTGCTAAGACATTAAGGAGAGTGAGAGAGTTGAATTTCCTCACTAATGATGTAAAAAGGCAGGAGCTCACAGATCAGAGATAGAAGAGGTTTAGAGTCTCCCTCACAAGCACTTTATCACTGCTGGGCATTAAAGGCCACTATCTGATACAGGCCAGTGGGCAGAGAAGCACAACAAGGTTTGCATTTAGTTCTCTCAAAAAATCGACTATTCACCAGCAGTTCATTTAGTTTTAAAGAAACTTTATTAATTCACTGACTCTCCACACTGGTGTTAAGCTACTATTGTAGCCACAGCAGACTGACAAAAAGTAAGATTGCCAGTCTGCAGCATCTACCCATCACACACACGCACACAACACTTTCATAGTAGGTAAGATGGGTCTTGCACAACAGCAAATCTATTCTGAGCAGAACTTGATCCTTCAGCTTCGAATTTAAGTAATTATTAAGCCTGAATCATTCATGATAAAAAAAAAAAGTTCCATTATGAATAAACTTTTTTAAGGTTAGCTTAGTTATAATTATTATAAAATATAGTACCAAGAAGAAGAGTAAGGTTTTAATCCTGATTCTTAACATCAGAAACACATGAAAAAGTGAATTTGAAGACAATCAGAGAAGTAGCTCGCCATTCTAGTCAGGCACATGAAAAAGAAAGTATTTCCTGAGATGTTCTGGACTCTGTTTGGCCCTTTTCTGTGAAAATGTGAAATAGACTCACTCACACATGTGCCAATATGGATTTTGAACTTGACAGGAAGAGCCAGTGTGAAATATTCTAAATCTAATTCATCCAACACACAAAGTCACCTTGGAGGCTTGTCTTGCTTGATTGCTTGGTCAGAGAAGCCTGAAGTCTTTTCTCGATTATGGCGAAGTTGTAACCAATGCACAGCTGTAAATCACCCTGACATTTGTATGACACATGACTCAGCTTCAGTAGTGCTATATTTAGATCAAAGTAGTTTGACCCAAAGTAGTAAAATGTGGTGTGCATAAACTCTGTTCTACCTCCAAAACTTTTCAGTCATGGGTTGACAGAAGACATTGTATTATGAAACTGGCTAAAATGATAAAAATTACTGGCAAATACTGAAGAGCTTTATGTTCCACTGTGTATGCTATTCTCATGAATCCAATATGCATATTCTCATTATGTAATATCTATAATTCATAGCACTCAGATGGTGTCATCAATATTCCCTGGGGGTGTGATGCTAACTGAAAACACTACTCTGTTAGAAGCTCTATTACTCAGATTAGACTTTAATCTGAGCTTTATTTGAACACAAGATGACCAGAAAGAGTTGATTTGGTTGGAACTATAACAGGATGATTTGAAGATGATTTGTGCCTTTAAACACGTCTCTTTAATTACAGTCACAAACTAGCTACAGATTTTCAATCAGTCACTCTCACCTTTTTGTTGAAAATCAAACTCCTAAACAGGACGGTGAATACTCGAATTGATCACAGGCTCCTGTAAATGTGTTGTTTAAATCCATTTTGTATTTTTTCTTTTTTACTTAAAACTTTTTAAAAATTTAAAACAATTTTCACAGTGTTTCCTAATATGTGTATTTTGTCACTGAAAATGAAAACTGCTTGCCTGACCAGCCAGTCCCTTCTACATTCTGTCTTAATCCAGAAAGGTCAGAAAGGAGCCGCACAACAGAGGCTGAAAAGTCTCCGTCCAAATTTGAGACGATCCAACCACAGCCGCTAATTTGTATCATGTGTCTCTCAACTGTGGAAGACATCTCGTCTTCAAAATTCTCCAAAATATATAAAGGCTTTTTTTCCTGAAATAAGCAATAGTGTAGGGCTTTGACAGTTGATTAAATCTGCACTGTTTCTCAGTCTTTTATGTAGTTTTGTCTCCTTTTTTATGTGTATACAGCCATGTTTGTTTTGACATGTATAGATCATGCTTCTCTCTGATTGGTTAATCTGCCTGTCAGTCACGCCCTCTGAAATCAGGGAGACAGGATACAGATTCAGATCCACTCGTCTTTGTCAAGTTTTTTCAAAGCATGGCATTCTGACCAACCAGGTAAGAAAACTGCTGAACATTCTGCCAGTAGAAATGCATTATAGAACCCCCCCCCCCAGTGTCACTGTAAAGTCTAAATAGTTTGACCAAAAGTACAAAAATGCAGTTTGCATATAATGTGTTCTACTTCCAAAACTTTTTAATAGTGGGTTTGAAAATGATACTGTATTATGAAACATGGCTAAAAATACTGCTAAGAGCTTTATGTTCCATTGTGTATGCTATTCTCATGAGTCTAATATACATATTCTCCCATTACATAATATCTATAATTCATACCACGCCTACAATAAGCATTTCCACTCAAGTAGCCATCTTTATCATTACAACACATCCAAATGTTAAGCTGTTGTAACTTGCTTAGTGGTTACCAGAGTGTTTCTTTAGAATGGCTGTAAAATGGAAAACAGAAATCATATGTTGACATTTAGTCCTCAGTCTGTGAATTTTAATTAGACACACACACGCACAATCTACATATCTAGGAGCCCAAGGACAAAAGCAATAATAAGATTTACACATTTTCTTGTAAACGAGCAAATGATGCGTTAAAACACACTTAACACAAGTGGGCTGCATGTTTTATGGAGTGTGGAGTTTATTGAGATATACTTGTGTTAAAGGTTTTATCTGCTTTGTAGCATGGAAACATTTAAAGGTCTTATATCACTCTATTTTCTGATCTGTTATAATGTCGTTACTTCATCAACACATAGTTTAGTAACACAAGCTTCTTATGGCTTGGGACTAATTCAAAGATAAATTTCTAGGGATGGAACAAGATCTCATGAGACAAAATTCCCACAAGATAAAAAAAAAACTAAGTGAGATTTTTTAAAATCTATGTGTTAATCCTTCATTTCAATTGTAAAGTGCTAGTGAATTACAAATATATAGTAAAAAATTCATACACTGTGGTGAACTTGGTTGCACAATGTATTCATTACAACTTATGTCAAAATCTCTTCTTGTTTCATTCTCGTGGACCCAGCCTCACATTTCATATTGTGGCAATTGTGTTTCAACCCATCCCTATTAATTCCTGATCACTCGGTTGTTTTATTTGCCAAGGAAGTGTACTATTTAATAAGAATCAGAGCAGAGTCAAATCCTAATGCAGTAAATGGTCCCGGGTCAGTATCTTACCATCACCATGTCTCCGGTGAGGGAGTTGGCCAGGTCCGAGACAGAGGAGTGACCATCGGCATCGGGGGGCTGGCCTTTGGGGCTGTTAGCTGGCTTGTTGCCCCTGTAAGCAAAAACAAAGGTTGACCAGAGAAAAAACGCACTAGCCCTCCAAAGAACGAGAGATAGGGAGTGTGCAGGGAGCTACATACTGCCTATCCTCAGTCCAAGTTAGCTTTGGTTAGATGTGACTTCAAAGTGGATTCTAACTATGACAAAAAAAAAAAAAAAAAAATCAGCTAAAGCAGCCAAGGAGTGGACATTTTCGCAGATGCTAGTTCTTAAGGCATTTTATGTGGGGAACTTGACAAATCTGAGGAAATGGGATGTCTAGGCATATGTCCGCAGTGGCATGTGTCCAAAAATTACACCAGCCAGAAACCAAAACATTTGAAGAAAAAGAACAAAAGTAAAGCACTATTTTAATCAACCCGTTTTTGAATGTACATGTAAAATGACATGTATAGGGACATAACAAATTTGTAGACAACAGACAAACATATATAGCAACATATGGGACATTGACGTTGAACACAAACAACAGACATAAAACAAGGTGCTTTGTGTTTTGAAATACTTTGAAGATTAAAAAAAAAAGTTATTTCATAAATCAACAGAGATCTCCCATGGCAGAGCTGGTACAAATGATAATACTGTTAAGGTCCTTCACATAAGGATATTTGAGATAAACAGTTTGGGATAAGAAACCTCTATGTTCATACATCTTTAAAACAAGAAGAGTCACAGAAAAACAAAGAAATGAATAACAAGAAATATCAAACCAACTGAGAAAAGAGAGAGATTAAATGGGCTTGTAGAGAATGTGAGTGAAGCATAAGTAGTGATTCAGTGGCACATTGGAAACACTCCATAGATGAGACCGGACACTGAAACAGCCTTAGGCACAAATGAACCAAGAGGACAAAGAAACACCAAAACAAATGAATGCTTGAGTTGCACAGAGAGAAAAGAGACAGACAAACTATAGAGACCATAAGTGAAAAGAGAAAGCAAGCTTTAAAATACCAGTCTGTATTAGAAGAGATAGCAGTATTAATAGCATGAACAGTGAGGTTACAGAACCAAACCAAACCAAGAGTGAGATTGTTACAAACACCAGCACATTAGAGAGAAAAAACAGAGCTGCAAGAAAAGATAGAGAACGAAGAAAGGAAAGCCTGGAAACACAAGAGAGGCTTAGTTTTGGTCAGTGTGATAAACATCAAAGAAGAGGCCAAAATAAAGAGCTATGCACACTACACCAGGGGGAGAGAGAGGGCTACATGCTGAAAGGAGAGAGAGAGAGCGGAGAAGAACAGAAAATAGACAATAAGTACCATCGATCTCCAGAAGAGAGCACAACAACTGGTCTTAATGTAGACAGCTCCAACAAATGAAAGATGGAGTATATAACCACACGCTACACAATAGAAATTAGTCTCAACAAAAAGACAAATAGTAGGAACATAGGAGTCACATTTAGAGTGTTACAAAATAAGGCTGAAGTCAAATGCAGCTAACTACAAACTTAACACTTGTCTAACCAGATTGTCCAACCATTTAGCAACACTCTAAAAGTGGGGGCCGGGAAACAAGGGCCGAAGCATAGTGGCATTGGCTACGTGTGCATATCGAGCATATGCAAGTAGTCCTCACTCAGAGAGTGAAAGCAATGCCTCGGACGGGCAAAACACGTCTGTCTGTCTGGCCAGCATTCTACTGTGGTGTCTTTTATAGTTGGATGTGCAAATTTGATGAAGATTGATGTTGAATGTAATAATGTGTGCATTTTTGCAGGACAAGGACGGAACTGGATCAAATGTACTGACAAATAGACAGACAGAAAATGCAAGCAAAGGGGACAAGCAAACAGACAATCACAGAAAGCAGCAAAAGAACCAGAGCGAGTCTGGGGGAAGGAGGGATGTTCACCGTGTGGAGAGGGAGGAATATTCATCAATTGGTGTTTGTGGTATTAGTTGCCAGAGGAGGTAATTGCATTTTCAGGGCCCTGTTTGTTTGGTGCACTGCGGGCAGGGAGATAGTGAGGAGTCCTGGTAAGACTAGACTAATATGTGGGCACAAACCATAGAGCAGGAGAGAGACAGAGTCTGAGCAGAGCACCTCCTCCTTCTCCCAACTATCAGCGGGGGACTTTTCTATTATTCATTGTTGGTCATGCTTTGCTCCGGTGCATTCTCAGGTGAGGCACTGTCACCTGAGGAGGTGGGCTTCTGCACTGCCCCCAGCTGTCTAACACAGCAGTCTATGCATAAACTTATCAGCTTCCTCTGGCTCATACATTGGATTTACAATGCTATTAAATTAGTTCAAGTTATATTAATATTAGCAGCAGATGGTAACACTACAACTGCTATGTTTTGGTGCCAGTGCTTTTTCTGTCCAGCCCCTGGAGGGTTCGACCGGGTGCTCTGAAGTCTGCAGTGTTCTACAGTGACCAGTGGGGGGCAGAGTGGACTCGAGTTCGGTCGTCCACAGCTAAGGCACAGAAAGTGGGCTGTTGGCATAGCAACGGCTCCAGAAACATAGAGCATACATATGTGTTGGGGGATAGTGATAGGGATGATGGGGAAGGGGTGCAGCAAACAGGCAAACACAGTGAGACACAGAGGAGGCTTTCGGATAGATGACAGGGACGGGTGAGGGCCTCGCGGGCACACTCGGAGGCAGGCGGGGCACTGTGGGTTCACCGTCCTGTGATACTATCCTGGGTTTGTTACCTGACTGAGGGCCAGCGGTGGAGAGGGGGGAAATGCACTCCACTTCTAGGCTGGAGAGAGATGCCAGAAAGAGAGGCCACCCTAGAAACTGCCCATCATCACCCCCCCAAAATAACAAACATGTAATGCACTCCCCCTTCTGACCATAAAGCTTTCCACTATCATCTGCAGGGAGCCAGAGCGTATACTTTTCACACATACACACAAAGTTGCTTATGTAACTCCTCATCCACAGAAACACGCAGACATTCACACTACAGTCATACAGGCTTGTGCTTGGCTCTTCTCGTGCTAAAAGTCTACTGCAGCGCATAAATATGGATGCCTTTAACTAGTTACACCCTGCACCTAGGGACCCAGAATGTGTTTAAAATAGCCTTGTTAGCAGAGTTCCCATAGAGTTTCCAGAGAAAGAAATACAGTACTGTGTACTGTCAATCAGCCTTTCCTTTGTAGCATAAACTAACACCTAAATTATAATCTCACACTCTCAGGACTCCATACAATTAGGTGTTATTGTCACGGCTCAGTTCATAACAATATAAACAAGCAAAATGAAAAACCCTCAAAACTGCAAGTACAGTGTTGTATAAAAGTCAAGTCTCTGGAAACATCATTGTTCGAAATAAACTTAAATGCATAAAATAGAATTGCTTAAAATCTATTCAGTTTCAGCTTCCTGTTGATAGGTGACATTTTAGAACTTTTGCACATCTAAAGGATATACAATTATTTTGAATTGTTAATAGCTAAGCTATGGCAAAGGTGCTAGACTTAGGGAAAAAAATGGATAGACAGAACTTCACTGGGTAGTCAGCATCTGTTTGCGGAATACCAGGTCCCACAGTGGCAAAAACACTGTGTCCTTAGACAAGGCAATTCAACCACATAATGATGGTGGTGGTCAGCGGAGCCCAAGGTGTAGATTGGCAGCCTCAGTTCGGTTAGTCTGCCCCAGGGCAGCTGTGGCTACAATAGAATACCAAGTATAGACTGAATGAATAATGCACTGTAAAGTGTAAGTGTAATTTGAAAGGCACTATATAAATCAATTCATAATTAATAAAAAAAAAGTTTATCTTTTTTTCCTCCCAAATATGTCAGAATCCTGTAAAACACATCTTGATCAAACCGAAAGTTCATAACAACAACAAACTATATTTACTGATATTTACTGATGTAATACTGCTATTGTTAAAACCAAGCACAATCCAAGGCTTTAAAAGTGGTTATGAAACATGTCTTATGTAAAACCCTTGTAAAATACAACTCTTCAGTCGTACCATCCATCTATACACGTTATCTATATCTGTTTACTTGGACAGTATAGCTCAAAATAACAGGACTTTGCACTCTGTGGAGAAGATGGATCTGGACTTTTCATCCTTTTCAGACTTATGGATGGGTGGGTATATGAAACCCATTCTCTCTATAGTCCTATTGTTGCTTCTTTTGGCTGCTCTGATGCCGTCTACCCCCTGTCTTAGTATGTAGCGCATGTGTATCTCTGTGCTGTTCTCCCCCCTGTGATGTCGCGATGATGGCCGCAGGGAGAATCAGGGCCTCGGGGACTCAGTCTTAACTGGATCCCTTGAACACAGCTGATTAGTTGGGCCCAAAGCCCCCCTCACAAGACAAGTAGTGTGTCAGACCAGCGAGGCAGAACGTAATCAATTTACATGTTTATGTACAAACATTACAGATGACAGGCCCCTGAATGCCAAGAATACATGTATTTATGGTCTAAATATTACAAAGTCCTAGCCAATAACAATCCATTTCACACAAGCGTGACCTAGATTTGACCTATAATGTAGATTTAATGAAAAATAGTGAAACTGATGCGGTTAGGGCTAATGGCGATATTGAATACAGACAAATATTTAGTGATTTACATGAAAAGGTCATAACCACCATCCACTGTGTTTGTCTTGGGTTTTTATGTCAGGTTAAGCAATGTAATAAACTCATAAATTATGCACCAATATTATAAAGTCCACTTTGCAATTAACAGATGCTCTCTGGCAGCCAGCTCCTCTCTGAGTGCAGCGCAGCTCTGAGCCTAAGCAATATACATCTGGATCTATTAATATCCCAAAGAGGCATTCTAAAACAAGACTGCACTGCCCAACAAAAATGATGTAACACGCATGGATGAATAATTGAAGGACCACAGGCAAGTGGATTGAATGTTAATGTGGCATAAGAATGTGCTATGGCCCACCTTTCTGGAGAGCTGAGCTCTGATTGGTGTATGTGACTGTCGCTCAGGGAGAGATCTACATTCAAAGCTCTTGGGATGTGGATTCTCTTTATAGCAACA